GGCGGTAGACGGTCGGGGAACGATAGCGCGAGGAAAAATTAGTGAAAAGTAATTTGATTTGTCCGTGTTAATGTCGCGCGATCAACGCCGACGACTGCTTTCCTTCGTTTGTCGACGGCTCTGCGAGTGAAAAATAGGTAAATAAAAGAGTTACGAGACGCAGGGTTGGATTTACATTTGTCACTGTTGAGGTTCGGAAAAATTTGCTAGATTTTCGTGGAGAGAAATGTTTATTACATCAGAAATAATGTGATTTTCGACCGTTCCATTTTGCGGATACAGAACACCAGTATTATTTTACAGCGGGAAATTCGCAAACATAATACGAAATTTGTAATAATTATCGTTAAACGTCTTTATTGTGCACACAGGTGCAGTATACGTATAATTTGCACAGTGGCGAGATAAAATCATAGACTGCTATTTAAATTAATTTTAAATAATTACGTAGTACTTTGAATAATGAAATTCTATTGTACATTTATTTGGCAATCTCTGATTCAAAATTCGCGCTACTCTGTCAAACAAATGTGATTTAGTGAATACAGTGTTAAATTACAAAATCGATTTCTCGCTTTTTGTATTTTGGAAGCATACAACATTGGAAAATTAACAATTTTATTCGTGGGTTTGATAAACGTATACAAATATATGCAATTTAAAAGTATTTTAATCCAAATGCAGAAATTTGATCTCTTCATACGCAAACATAGATTAAATTTTCAAAAAACTATAGAATTCACTTAATGTGCAAGAATATAAGAAATACGTAAGATAGAATCGTATTCTTCTACGAAGCTTCCATTTCATTAATTCTATTAATAAAAATATAAATTTGCTATTTTATTCTGAAAAATAGTAGCCAGTGTTCCTTTCAGAAAAGATTCTTTGTTGCACAGGGACTAACGAATTCGTTCAATATGCATAACGTGCAAGAGTTTAAGTATCGCGTGTTTACTTTACGGAATCATTTTGCCCCCTACGTCGTAGAGGAACGACTCTAACGTCGATCGCGATGGTACTCCAGGGTTCGTTGGCGCGAATACGTGAAACCACGGGCGCCAAAAATACGGTTAATCAGGAAACTTATGCCACGGTCGCATTCCATCGTCCCTCGGAGCGATGTGTTGCGTAAACACGACGCTGTTGATGGTTAACACGAATCCCAGGGACACGTTGAAGAGGGATTCGTGTTCGCGAAAGTTTCCGTCAGGGTGGAACGTGCCTCGCTGACAGACCGTCATCCAGCCAGCAACGATGCTGCCCCCCCACGCTGCCTTGGCCACCCCTCGAGCCCACCCCTTTCTCCATTTCTCGTTCCTCCAGACCCAGCTACTACCCTCTCATACCTGTAACATCAATTAAAATTCCCGTGGTCGATGAGCCACTGTTTCGCGCGATCGTCCGCCGTTTTTAATTGGATTAGAGCGAGACACAACGCCGGCAGCAGCAGCAGCAGCATCGAGCAGGGTGGGTCGGACGTCGAGGGTGCCAGGTTACAGGAAGGAAGGGGTTGGCTCGAATATTCGGACGCAGAAAGCAGCGGAATAGCAAGGGGGAAGGCGAGCAGGTAAATGACAGAGACAATCTACTCGCACCCCTTCGTGCTTTGCGATTCGAGCGCGGCAGGGGGTGAGTATCGATTTCGCGGGTTTCGTCAGAAAGGAAAAACCCACGGAAATTGAAGAACGACGTTGTCTTTGCTTTCAAGGGCCCAAGAAGAGGGTATCGGTATCGAAAGTCGAGAAATTTGGAAATTCATGTTCGAATAATCGTCCGCCACGTGTAATTACAGTCATCGTCCACGTAAAATAGAGATTTGTATTTCCTATTCGATGAACCCGATTTCATCCCTTTTTGTGGACGATGAAAGAATCTTTTTTTATTTGGAGAAATCGTAGACTCAAAGGGCAAACGGTTCGCATAGCGAGAAGAGTTGCGTCATGTCTGGTCATGCACGGTTCAATTTAATTCGCTAACGATAAATAACTCGATTGTCCGGTGGTATTTCCCCCCGAAGGAACAGCGGCTAGCCCCGAGGAGCGTAAATCACACTTAACGTACGCGCAACGGTGGAAATAGGCTAAGTCTATTAATTAAGAGGAAGTTCGAAACAGAGTTGCACGCTTCTGAATTGGAAACGCGACGTAACGAATGCGTATATACTCGCCACCGTTCGTGCAACACGGTTCTCGGCCGAGGAACGCTTTGAGGGACGATTAACTGTTTTCGTGGGATTTTTCGGCGCGAACTTTTGGCTGGACTGTCTGCATAAATCACTCGAACAGCGCGCGAACCGCCGTGGGCGGGATTCGAGCGTCGTATCTGCATTCGCAACACGCGGCATTAATTATGTATTCAATAAATTTTAAACGCATCGAAATGAATTCAAATTGCAGATTAATATTAAACGGCGTCGGCTAATTGGCCGGGCAATTATGCGGCGTTAATTAAACATTAGAGGCGAGGTCTCGCGACATAAGGTCGGCCTCGCCATCTGGCGAGTGCTTCCATCCCATACTGAACGAAAGTTTCTTGCGAACAGAGCCATCTGAAAGGGAAACTGGCCAACAGAAGTCGCAAAACCCTTATCTAAACATACATTTTCAACGATAAACCAAAAATAAATTAACGTTCGTTCGTTACTCGATAAGTGAAAATTAGAGTTTCAATTGTGAAACTACCAAAGTCGCTTCGACAAGCTGGTTTAAATAGATAAATAATAAACATAATTATTTCTATTATAAACTAGTCAAATAATAAATTTATGTACTTATATTTACATTATATCCGTTGTCAGCAATTCAATGAAGTTACAAATTTAATAAGGTATGGCAAGGTACATCGAGTACTGAGCAAAATGTTACACGATTAAATTTGGGCTTAGTACCATGCACTTGATATTTTTTTAGTATTATTTATCACAGAAGAGTGCCAAAAAAATATTTATTTAAACCAGCTTGTTGACTTTGGTGTCTGAATCGAATCAAAATTTAATTGTTCTTCGATCAAGGTCCGTCAAAAATTCCCATTGAAATCGATAATTTAGCAAAGTTCTATACGCATCAACGAAGTCACAGTTAGTTTCGAAGATTGGGGAAAGAATAGAAGCATATTGTTTAGAAAAGAAACGTTTTATTACACTCACCTACGATCTTTATATGTTAATATACGCAAGTTGCAAAGATACATACACAACGACGTACGATCCGGTTCGAGAGTGAAACCTTTCCATCAGGATTGGCCCGGGTGCTCTGAGACTGTAAAATATTCTCAACCCTTGCAGTGCACCGCAATGGCGGAAAAGGTACGCGACGCAAACGAGGAAGAGAATTAAAGTCGCGACGACTCCGTGGCAGTTGAGCTAAAAACGCTTTCGTTCCTGATATGTCCAAGATTGGCGAACGTATTGAAAGACTTTGCCATAGATCAGTCGACGATTAACCCTTTCATGGCCACAGTACACCTCGAAAGAAATTCTTTGTTCACGTGCTAAATCGAGATCAATTTTTCCTCCTCAACTATTTCTATTTAAAAAAAAAATTGTACATCTGTTTCACTAGTCTCAAAATACTGTGAAAAATCTCTGAAAAGTCTCTTATTTACAGTAACTGGTGCGGAAACAAAAATAAACATAAAAATCATTGCAAAAGTTCTGTTACGATGATTGCACGTAATTCGTACGAAATCTGGCCACGAAAGGATTAAAGGAAACTATTTCGTCGAAGGGTGAATTAATTTACTGTTACTTACAAAGTATAGATATCAATGGGGCATGGACAATCAAGTCGACGACGAACATCAATGATAATATAATATTAAAAATGAATTTGTACTGTTCCTTTCTCTTTTGATTCGTATTATTGAGCTTCGGCCGATGGTGTATTTCTATGGTAAAATCTTTTACACGATTCGTCAAACGGCCGATCGTGTTTCTCGCTCGTAGTTCACGGCATTCCTTCTCTCCTGAATCGAGTATACGTGACTATACCGACCACCGAGTATATTACAGCATATTAACTACGTTAGTATTCCTCATTCGACTTACAGCTTCGTTCGATTGATTATGCAGCTGAAACGCGATTAGGTGATTAATGAAGGTTAAATTTAACAGCGAGTTGCAAGTTTCGGTGTCAGTTGATCTACTTTCCGTAGGTACACGCGTATTTATACTTGAGCGCGCCGGACTGGCCAATTAGGAAGTGGCGTGATATCATGCCGAGTATATTGAATTTCATCGTCCGTGATTGAAGACAGGCCAGTGGATCAACCGAGTATCGCTCTAGATATCTAAACGAGTTGAACTCCGTCGCTTTTCCCGTGTAAACATTTAAAGAAAGATCGACTAGCACGTCTAGAGGCAAGGAGGATTGCGGATTGACACGTAAGACGTATAAATTTTCTGATAAAATCGACCCTATATTTTAACCCTTTTAAGATACGTTACCTATATCACTTAACGCTACGCCTAGAGTATGCACGCTACCACGAATTCCTTTGTCCTTATTTTATCGATTAATATTTAATGTTTTACAACTACGCGACGTTGTCACTCGAACAGTTTCGAATCGTTAAAAATTCGCTTCGATCGAGTCTCCTACATAGTGTTCATCTTTAACCTAGATAGCAATAGTTTATGTACAAGTTCTTTTTCGAAATCTTTGAGTAAGATTGTTCCTTGTCGAGTCTGTATTCCACTTATGTGACAAACATGTTTCCTGCACAGATTTCGGTAGTAATACCATAGGGAACTATATGATCGATGGTAGGTACAGGTTATCCCATAGGATAATATTGTTTCTGTCACTATCTGCTTGATCGATAGCAGATACCATAGATATTTACTGTGCCACATACGATAAAACAGATTCCTTATTTTTTTCCATTGAAATGAGTTCCCCCGACGTAACAGATTTCACGTCACTTGTTTCTTATATTTGAAATTACAGTGGCGTTTCTTCCTCTTCCAGTTACCTTGGCGTCGGAGGAGGTGGTGGTGGTCATACTGCGCTCCCGGTATAGAATCCTGTTTTCCCGGCCAAACCGGGTCCGCGTTTCCTCTTCTCGCATTCCATTGTGCTGAAAGTGTTCTGCGCGATTTGTGACTTCCTCTTTGGATTCTGCAGCGTCATGCTCCTCTGGCTCGAGTTCGAGCTCGAACTTGTACCAGGTTCGGAGACTCTTAAAATGCCAGAGTGTATCGTTCCGAAATTCTGATAGATGTACTGGGACTGGATCGCCGAGACAGACGTGCTCTGGTTTTTCAAAGTGATTGGCACCGTTTGACCTGCCAAACTGTTGTATCGTGTGTCGTAACCGAAGGGAGTGTCCAGCAACGACTCGTTCTTTTCACTATACCCACTGAGTCTCGAGTCGAGGAGACCTTCCTTTTCTGCGAAACCACTTAACCTCGAATCCACCACATTTTGTTCTGTAGTTCTGGGAGAGAATTCGGTGTAACGCGGCTCCTGGCCGACAGTGTGCTCCTTGCTCTCGGTGAAAGCGATCATATTCTGCCGTGAGTCGGATAGAATCCTCGAGTCTATCAAACCTTCTTTATCGGCGAAGCCACTTAAACGCGAGTCGATAACACTAGCCTCCGACTTGTCACTGAACGTGTACCGTGGGTCGGCATTCTTCGAATCCGGATACGTCGGTAAAACGTGTGCCAGATCTGCCTTATCGACGTAGCTGATGGCTTGCGGATTGGAGGCACAAATGTCGGGCGCGGATTTGCATAAAAGGGACGTGCCTTCTTCGACCACTCGCTGGGGCGCTGCAATATGAACAGATTTGTAATTAATCGCGTAATAGCATTGCCAATTCGATCGAGAACGAAAGGTAGCGAAAACGTAGGTTACTTTTTGCGGGTTGTCCAAACCCTCTGGCTTGAGGTGGTCCAGGTGACTTCTGATGAGCCCTCACGAGGTATTCTGAGCTCAAGCCTTTCTGTTCTCTTAGCTTCCTCTCAGCGCCAGGTACCATGACTCTCACCTAAAGTAACAGGAGCATCGTTTAAATTCTGGTAAATTCTTCCTACAAAAAACACAATGTAGCAAGTTTAAAACCGTACCATTTCTTCGACGGTCGAGAATCGAGCCATGTAACCGGACATTGTGAATACAGCCGCCACTTCCGCCAGGATCAAAGCCAATCCCGACAGCTGAAGGCACCAACCGTACTGATACTCCGGTAGACCGCTGTCATCCATCTCCATGCTCGACGTGGATGGCAAACTATATTTTCCTGGTAACTCTAGCGACGCGTCCGATAATGCCGATACCAGAACTATCAGGCCACCGCCTAACGAGAGTCCTGTAACACAAATGAAGTTATTACTTGGCGTACTTCCCAATGTCTCTGATATTTATTGTTTTCGGACGGAATCGATTCGTTCCAGACTTATAGCCGAGTGTGGTCTGAGCGGAGTTCACGATTAGAATTTGCCATCCAAGTTACTGGAACTCGAATTGATAACCTATGGAGTTGGTAACCGATGAAGATCTCCAGTAACTCATTGGCTACAGGATTTAATCGCGAACTGTAATTAAACCTCGCGACGCTGTGATCAATTGCAAGTTAATTTACTCGTTCCACGTTGCTCGTCGCTTCATCGTTCGAGAATCATTGTTGTTCGAATTGTTTATCCGCCTGTCGGGAAAGATCTAAGACCAACGTTATCGCGTTAAACGAAAAGGATTACCGCGAATTAAGTCGTGAGAAAGCACGAATGACGTTTTTAAGTTGTTCGTAAACCACCTTCGCGGACCTCAATCTTATTTTTATTATGCCTCAATCGCCAGTAATTCTTTTAGATGCGACCGTATTGCCTCCGGTTGCCGGTAAATACAGCAGCTTAGCTTCGTGGCAATGCGAGACGAATGGAACCATTAAAGTTTATCGTTCCATAAAATTTGTCGCGTTTCCTGCATTTTAACTGCGTCTTCCGGTCGAATGATCCGACGGTACTATTACTAATTGCGTTGGCGTACTTTTACGCTATCGATTTCATGGGTATTTGTTCGTGGATGGCGAATGTTGACTAGTCCAAAATCTATAGGGACAAGTATTCTTCTCGAATGTTTATTAATTCGAACTTTGTAAAATGTTGAAAATTTTAAGGGGATCCTTGTAAGAAGGCTTTAATTTTCGACTTCGTGGTTTTGGTGGTTTTGGTTTGGTTATTCGCTTGTCAACAATGGTTGGGTAGTGGTCAATGATGGTCAACAGTGAGGATGATAAGATCAAGGGTCCAGGAATGGCCAAGAGCTAGGACCAACAGAAATACTTCTTCCGTAGACCGGACTGTCAACTTTGTCTTTGCGTTCCCCTACTCTTCCACCTTAGGAAGAGGTACACAGAGAGTCACTGCTAACATACTCTTTCAGTATTACTTGGGCTTCCAAGTGGATCGGGTCTCGCGAATTCGGTGGTCTACCTCTGGGCATTAGTGAACCTGGGTGACCATTACTGACCATTACTGACCACTACTGACCAGTGCTGGACCGTGATGTACAACAGTACGAATTGTTCAAAATTCCTCTCTCTACTTCCATTTTATCATCTGCTTCTAATTTTGCTTTAATGAACTGCTTAACTGCTCTCCCTATAATAGGAATGTTTTCTTATTTTACAGATGACCCATTGGTAACTACCCACTACCAATCTGACAACATAGTCCATAAGGTGAGAAGTCTGCTCGTATACCTCGTCTGTGCCTGTACGTACCTCGTCATTCGTTTCTTTCTTTCACCTGTATCGAAGCGCAACGTTAGTACTTTCGCGAGTTTCTGGTTGGCGGATGAAAGCACACCCCGGTCGTCGGTGACGAAAACGAGGTTCCTTTCTGCCGCAAATGCATTAAAAAGACTGCCGGCGCGACGTGGCCTGTTTCTTCGGCTACGTTTACTTTTTATATACGATGTGTTCTTCCCCGGGCGTAAAGAGTACGACATAAAAATTTGCATACGCGTAAAACGAACGACCCGGGGCTTGCAGCCCGTCTGTTCTATAGTCGATTCAATTCCAGCTGCACGATCTACCACCGACGGGACACTGTTATGACGGGGTAAGCCGCTCCGTTATTGCATTCTTAACGACAGATGATTCAGGCCACGTTACAGCAACGTGGATTATTACTAGAACGTACCAAATTGATGCTTACGCGCCACAATTGCTCGCGATATTTTAGACCCATATTTTTAAAGACTTTCTCTGTTCACCGTGGCCATTCAGTTCTCGCGTAATGGGTTTATAACGCAGTTAAAGAACGCGTGTAATTGTTATTGCCCCCGTAAGCATCCCACAGGCTGTACAGGTTACCACCATTCGAACGATCCACCGAAGATAGGGGAGTCCAATACTACTGTTTTCTTTTTAATTTATTGATTTATTCTTTAATAAGTTGCATCAATTGGTAGAAATCTCTTTCGTTAATGTTTCGAGCGAACACAAATTTATAACGATTCTTTTTAACGCAATCGATCGTAGATTCGTCCACTGCTGGTGACCAGTTCTACCAATCGATTGTTACTTCTGCTTATCAAATTTACAATGGGCGTAAAAAGCACCCATATTTTATTCACGTACGCCAGTTGGAGGTTGCAAATACGTCTGGCAAATTTAAATTTCAATTAACGCCGCAATACGTTTTACAATCAGACACATGTCATTACGGGGCAACGTTTATGCCTCATTTCCATTCCACGAGCGTGATTGTGTTCACTGGGAAGAACCGTGTGCACGTCGCGTCGCTAGAAAAGCAATTATGAAAATCCGAAATTATCAACGATCAAATACAGGTTAATCGTGGAAATTAGTCGAAACGTTAGTTTGAAAACTACGTTTCTAGAAGTTGGAGAGTTTTAGCGGTTCTATGTCATTCATGGTGTAAAATTTTATGTCATTATATTCCCGTAATCACTCCCCTAACGCGATGATAGTCACAATTTACCAGTAATTACCTAGAACATTGACAAATAAGTCATAGATACAACGATTCTATATCATTCTTATCAACCGAAGTTATGTAAATTCCATTATCTAACGGGACATCACTTGTCACGATTAACCAGGGCTAATCGTCGGCTAATCATCGTTAATCGCTCATAATCGTTGTTAGTCGTGATCTATCATCATTGCCTAACATCTAATTATCGACGAATCATCGTCCAATTATGGTTAATTGCACAGAAGTTGATTATCGTGCGATCCAAATGCCTTTGGAGACCACTAAAACCCTATGGGGTATGTTTTCGGTTCGAATTAATTACTTTTGATAGCAACGATGCGAATTCGGATACAAATTATTTACGTCGCTATCGAACATAATAGATAATTACCGTTCGAACGTTCAACGAAGTGTTTTTGTTCGATAGAGATTCGAGTCGAATTTATTTGGAACACGTCGCGAAACTTGCGACCCAACACGGTCGTATCGTACTTCGTAGCTGTTGAAAAAAAAAAAAAAGAAAAAAATTCTGTTCCCGTATCGACGTATGAGCATTTCTATACGTCGAGAGGTTTAATTAGAGCGCGACGCGTTAGCGCCGCGTTTCCTTATTCAACGATTTCGTTTGAAAATATGCTAACCCAAACGCCATTTATCAATTTTCCCTAATTAGCGTGCGCGACCTAATTTCACGCGTCTTCGGAAACAGACCGCCAACGGGCATGGAATAATTCGACGGCGCGGGCGTTCGATCGCGTTTAACGCGAAAATTAAAAAGCAAAAAGGAAACAGCGTCGAACCGATGATAATGACGATTAATTTGACGAAAGTTTTCATCCATGATTTTACGCGACAGCGATTGTAACTAGCGTCGGAACGGCATCGGGGATATAAATCGAGGCTCGTAAACTGGCACGGGCGAATGGAAGTTCGCGAATAACTGTCATCAGCACGACGACGAGTTTGGAATATTCAATCGAGAGTCGTCTTCAATTTCTCTATTGACTCGATTGCGCTACGCTTTGTCTCTGGACTGCTGCTCAACCTATTGCTCAATTAATTAGTAGTAATTGCAATTTAGTCGTGGAACGTGAGGTTCATAACGAAACCCGGAAGTTTTCGTCGCCACGGTACGGAACGCTCCGATTCGTTTGTTAAGTAAATACGCATCGTACATAGTTACCCTAACAATTGCTGAATTCAGATTAATTCCGTACCGTTGTTCCTGACCCCTTGATTCTTTGGCGAAGAGAATTTTTCCAATTACAGAAGCATTGTTGTAATTTATTAAAACAAGGAAATGAGTAGCTGTGCAAGAACACAGTGTAAAAACTTTCACGATCAACGTACGATCATTTTTATGATATAATTATACAAATAGCATAGAGTAATTACAAGCTCTTTGTACGATCAATTCCCTTCAACGTAAGATGGAATTATAGTTTCAGATAAAAAGGTTTGTTCGTTCAAAAAAATACCAGTCAAAATGTAAAATTTTGAGTATCCACCGAAGAATCCTCGCAACGAGTACAGATTTTACACTCGGATCACGTTTCCAATAGCACCTCTACCAGCCTGATAGACAATAAACGTCAATAAAGCTATGAACGATATAAAATTGACAGCTGTGTCTGTTCTCTTTGTTATCTGTCATCGATTACAGAATAAAAACGAAACGCTGGACTAACTGTAAATTGTCGCTAAAATCGTTGCACTTAGTTTCTTCAACATTTTCCTGTTCGCTGTTCCGAAGCTAGATCGCGATAACGTTTCATGAAATATTTATTTCCAACGCAGTTAGATCGTTGCTTTATTTAATTCAGTGGATATAATAACAGTTTCGCGCGATAAGGGTTCAGAATAATTTTAGACAAGGTATTAGTGTTTTAAGAGGACATTTACATTCCGTGGTTAGCGTTATCGCTTCCGGGCGAAAAATAAACAAAATATTTCAGGGGGCCAGTAGTAGTGGACTGCACGAGTCAGCCATAAGAATTCCACAGCCCAGCACTCAGTTAGCTCTGGGTTAGATACGAGCTCCGAATATAAACCCTCTTCCTTTCCGTCTATATAAGTTCATAGATAAGGGATGGTAGATATATGCTTGGAACAATTTACCAAAGAAATATGTAGTGGAATTAGGACAGAACTCGGAGCAATTTTGTCTACGGTTAGAAACTTGTTTCGACAACAGCCATAACAGAATTGTTCTAGATAAACGTTGCTTTCATTAAAATATGCATTCACAATATTCACTCATCCACAGTTTTGTAATTTTCTATTTATTACAGGGTTTGCAATGGAAACTAATTCAGTAACTAATTCAGTAAAAGACAAAATATTTCAGTAAAAATATACATTGCAA